GCAGCAGCTCCATTCCCTCTGGTGTAGGAAGGATCTAAGGCTGAAGGGGACGGGCGTCATTTTCCTTCTAGTTTGGAGATCTGCCTTCCTTCCTTGAGCGTTTCAGGCTGGGGGTAGGGCGAAGGAGGGTATTTGGAGAGGGCCAGGGCCCATCGCTGGGGATGGGGAAGCTGCCTGGGCCTTGGAACGGCCGGTGTAAGCGAGGGGAGGGGAGACAGGACGGGCTTAAGGAGGAATCACGGATGAGGGATCCAAGCGGAAAACCCACCCCGAAGCTCTTTCAGCGCGCGCTTAGATGGTGGAAGCTCGGCAGTGCCTGGAAGTGGGGTTCCTGGGCGGTTCTGCTCCCGCTGCCGCCGCTGCTGCTCCTCTGCCCCAACAGACCGAGGCCCTGTGAGGTGTGTGGGGTGCAGGACGGGGTCATCTAGGTCACGGAAGGTGGAGGGGCGGGCCCCTGAAGGGGTGGGGGGGGCGGGCAGAGCCCAAGTGAGCCGGCCTAGGCCCTAGACCTGCGGCTGTAAAGGCGCGGGGCGCGGTGGCAGGAGAGGGCATTTCTTTCCGAGAAGGCCCGGTCGGTGTACCCCCGCCTCTGTCCGACCCCATTCCTACTCCGTAATCACGTAGGACTTCGACCGTCGATTGTCCACCTCTCGCTCCCGCAACATTGGCTGGGAGGGAGTGCGCGGCCGGCGAAGGTGCCCTTGTGGGAGTCTGCAGCGGCCGCGGGCCCCGCCGGAAATCCTCTGGGATCAGCCCGGAGCTCTGGGACGTGGTGCGGGATGACCATCCCCATCCTCTGCCCTCCTACACCAAGCTTTAGGAGTCTCCAGGGTTCGTGATTGAATGGAAAACAAAGCCAAGGCAGGGGAAAGGGGGCGCGGAAAAAACCAATGCTTGCTCGTTTTTTGTCCTGCTTAATTTAGACGCCTGGGCGCATCCTAAGAAAAAAATCCAGGAAAAGGGGGCATTCGTGTTATAAAGCAGGTCGGGGAGTCCCCGGGCCGCAGTGCGGGGCGGGCGCGGCGCTTCGCTCCCGGGCCACTGCGGAGCTGGGCCATCGCCGCACCCAGAAGCAGCAGTGATCCGCAGCCTCGTCAGGCAAACGTACCAAGAAGTCAGAAAATGGATTTCGGGGGTGCCTCCGAAACCTTTGGTCTCAACACATTGTATATATTTAAGAAGCGATTAGATTGGATTTTAATTTAAAATACATCTTTGTGCCATTCACGTTGGAAGATCTTTGCGGTTTGTATTTCCCTGGGCTTCGCGGCCAGGCTCCTGGCCCTCAAGTCTCCATTTTAGGACAAAAGGAAGAGAGGTTAAGAACATGAAAGGGTGAGCCTTTAGAGACTTGCTGATAACTTCACTGCTGATCTGGAACATTCTCTGCTCTCAATAAGGCCTGCTGATTTCCCAGGCCACCTAAATTTGGTGCGCACACATCTCCTCTGGAGACCAGGGCACATCCCAAAGCAGGGCATGTTGCTTAGAATAAAGCCCCTTTGATGTTCTTTTTGTCTTGTTCTGTGTCTACATTTGGGATGCAATTAAAAATATTTTAAAATAACGAGTCAAATTGATGGAGAGCTTGGGGGGGGGGGCGCAGGAGAACAAAACAACAACACCAAAATGAAAAGAATTGTAGATGGCACTTAAGAGAAAACAAATCTTTATTAGGATATCATTCTCATTATCATCATCATTATTATTGACATACTCATCACTGTGAATCAGCCAGCCACCAAGCCCCCAACACAGACAACCAGCCCAACCCCTCAGTCAGCCTATGTTGACTCACAGGGTTCTAAAACCACCCACAGAGTGGATGAGGAAGGGAGGCTCCATCTGTCCCAGGGAGAAGGCTTTGCAGCTGCCCCCAGAGAACTCTATTCTGAGGTTGGAATAAAAGGGTGGGGTGGTGGAGTAAGTATTATGTAAGGTTCAATGCAGGGAAAAGAGAAATTTATTTCCCTGTAGACTATAGATGGGTAGATTGTGTGCATTTCAGTGTCTTCCTATATTAGCATCAGCAATGGATTTAGTTATGTGATAAATGTATGTATGTATGGACATATGCCTACTGAGAATGTGTTCGTGCACCAAGTATTATTTCTCTGGCTAAGGAGCCCCATGTGTCCATGACCCCCTCCCTGCCCTGGTGGTAAGAGAAGTAAATTAGAGGAATTTACCTTTGTCCCTGTTAAAGGATCAATTTCTCTTCTGCTTAAGCAGAGATCTGTCTGGACTGTCTCTGGCAGGGGAAAGAAGAATATTATGGATTTTTCCTTTGATACATTAAAAAAACATCTTCAAGTATCTGATACAGTCACCCTAACCAACACGTGAGAGCTACAGGAGCTTCAGAAATATCATGACCACGATGATGGTGGTACATGGAAACCAATGTTCCTATGAGTACACTTTGTGTACTCAGTCAGCTGTCATAAAGCACCCTACATTAAAAAAAAATGTTTCCCCACCCCCTCATGTAAATCATAGAATGTAATTAGAGTGATTTTGAGAGATGGAAGATGATGTTAAGAGTTAAAAAATACCTTGAAGGGGCAGAAAACGATACACTTCTTACACAAATACTGGTGGACATCAATAGACTCCCCAACAGAGACATCAGGAAGATCAGAGGTGATCTTTGGTGAACACAAAAGGTCTTGAAATCATACAAGGGTCAGAGTGGTCCGTTCATCTTTTTATACCCCTACCATTCTTGGTCCTGAAAGCGCCGCCTCCCTCATCCCCCACTACATGAAGACACCTTTTTCGACCAGAATTCGCAAACACAGGAACGTATTCATACTGAAGCACATGGACCCAGCAATCCAGGGCGCTCCCCTAACAAAGCGTTCTGGAACAAGAGTTTATATAAGCAGTCAAAATAGAAAACCTGTCCCCCTCATTATCAGTTATTTGTGGCAGGAACATGGTAGGCCTTGTCTACAGGTGCCTGTGGTTTAGGCTCTCAGGGGAAGGGTGCTAAGTGTCCACTTTACAGGGACAAGACTTGGGGAAGCACGTGAAGATTTTATTGGAGGGCGGATCAGCTGAAAGGTACATCAAGGTCTGGCAGAAAAGCAATTACTGAGAAAGGCTCGCTAATGTGGACCATTGTGGTGCGAAGAATTTGGTCATTAGAAGCTTTCACTATGCCTGACAAAGCCTAGAGCACCTTCTTAGTGAGGGTGGGGGAGTAGAAAGATTCACACTCCCCACAGCAAGTCTGCTTTCCTTTTCAGGAATCCATCTGAAGAGCCAAAGGGCAGAGGGTCCACCGGCCCTCAGGAGGAGGTGTATTTGAATGCCAGGGCTGCTTTTAGGACAACCCTTGCTAAGGTTAAGAGTTCAGAGAAGCAGCTCTTCCTTTCTGTCCTATAGCCAAGCGTGCCTTCCGGGATTGAGGGAAGTATAGTGCCTGCAGCTCACACAACTGATGATGTGCACTGCAACCTTTTCTCTGCAGGGATGAACAGGTTCCCAGTACGTTTCTGTAGGCCTAAAGGTTCTAGGAGTGCCTGCCTAGGTGGGGTGTGGCACAGTTAAGCTCTGCCTTTGGGGACTCCAAACCTTCCCTTTGGAGTGCAAACGAAGAAAGCTAAAACAATTACTCAAAGATTGGCACACAGTAGGTACCCAATCTTTTGTAAGGAAATGAGACCAGGGAAGAGAGTGGGTATGGGGTATTGGCCCATAGTATCACTGAAAGCTAATTCAGTCAGGGGACTAGATTGAGGCTTTGGAGAGGGCCTAGGTAAATTGGCTTTGAGACTCTGAGGACCGATTAGTGTGTTAAGAATCAAACCAAAAGGGGACTACAGGCCCTTGACTACCCGCCTAACATCCCTCAAAAGACAGGCCTCTGTCATGTGTGGGGGATGGGCTGCAGCAGGCTTCCTGGGTAGGAAGAACCAGCCCTTGCCCCTCCTCCACTTGTTCCACCTAAAATTAATGGGTTTTGGTTTTGCCACTAGCTACTGCAGCCTGAAGGTGCATGCCGAACTGGAGATGGGATGTGACTGCGCTGAGGCACAGGGGGGCCTCTAGGGCCAGCTGCTGCTCTAGGACTAGTGATGAGGGGGGGAACAGGCTGTTCAGGGTGAGGAAGGCTTAATCGTTCATACCCTGTCTGCCTCTCTGATACAAGTCTTTCATCAGCCCTCCACACTGCACACATTCAGTGTGGACACCTGGTAATTGAGTCTCTCCCTTCCTCGGTGCATCCTGGATCTCTGCCTAACCCAGCAATAACAGCCACATTGAGGCCCTAAGAGCTGTCACTATGCCTTCAGCCCTGACAGAGCTTGTCAATCCTCCTGGAGTGAGTACCTTCTTCCGTGCACATCCCAAATGACTGCCTTCAGCCTGACAGTTCTACTGCAAAGGGTGGCACCCTGCTAGCCCCTCCCTTCCAAGCCCCTCTAGTCCAGGCTTCTACAGGGCAGGGTTCTTTTTTTCTTTTTTAAGGGCAAACCGAAAGTTAAACTCAGAACAAAAACGCAGCCACTGAGGAAGGTCTGTATGCCCCATGTACAATGCACGCGGAACCCAGAGAAAAACAGGCACACAGAATCATGCCCTGGTGTGTTACGAGGCGCCCCCTCCCCCCATCATCTGTGCAGACACAGAACTGTGCTTCTGTCACAGAATCCGCTCCAGTTATCCTCCGTGAGGCGGTTTGCATCTCTGAGTCCCGGTCTCTCAGGAGCCCATACCTCCCCACCCCGAGGGCTCCTGTGTGGGGCAGCCCAGCCAGTAGGAGCCAGCGACTTCTCCTGCCCAGAATCCGCAGCGCTGAGCTCTGCGGAGGGCGCCGAGGCTGGGCTGTCACTCCTCGCTCGCTCGGCGGGCCCTCGCGGACCGACGGTGCTCAGCCAGCCCCATTCTTGGCATTCACCGCGTGCCTTAATTGTATGGACATTTAAATCAAGGTCCGCTGTGAACACGGAGAGAGAGGCCTTTCTCCTGGCGAAGGAAGGGACGAAGAAAAGGCAGAAGGCAGGAAAGGTGACAAGAAAGGACGGGGGAGAAGATGGAATGAGAAAACGGGGGTGGGGTGGGGGAAGATAATAAAGAGCGGTGGCGGTGCGTGCGCACTGACAGCGGGGAGAGGGCTGGGTGGGGGTGGGGAGAACAGGGAGCAGAGGACCACAGCATCCTCCCTACCGCAGCTCCCCCAATCGCACAGACAATGAGCTAACAGCGGCGTCTTCCAGAGGCTCTTTGTTCTCGCACATCCTTTCGAATCCAGGCTTTGCCCTGCAAAGCGGAGAGGGTGGAGGGTTGGGATGTGAGTGGAAGTGGAAGGCAGAGGGGTTCCTCCCCCGAGTTAATTACCCCAAATCCTCTCGTCCCTCTCTCCGCGCCTCACTTCCCCTGCAGCTCCAGACAATGAGAAAACACCCACCCCACCGCCGAGAGCCCTACCCACCCATTTCGCCTTCGGCTCGGCGCTGGAAAACGGAGGGGGACGAGCAATGGGAAAGGCTGCGGGCGCTTGGCGGCGGCTGTCAGGGCAGGACGCGAGGTGGTGGGCTTTACCTCGAGCGCCGGGTGCAGGCGCCTCGACCCGGGCGTGCGGTGCCGCAGAGGCGGTACGGCCGCCGTCCGGGGCCGGGATCCGGGAGATCAGCCTTCCGGAACTCGCCTGCTGCAGTCCTCTCGCTCAGGTCCCAAGTGGTGGAGGGGAAAAGGAAAAGGAAGAGAGAGAGAGAGAGAGAAAAAGAGAGAGAAAAAACAGAAGGGTGTGTGTGGAAGAGACCATAAGAGCGAGGCCCATCTGGCCCCTCATCAGCTTTGTCAAGTCTTGCATACGCTAAAATGCTAATGACCTAGATAGCTCATGCAAAATGCAGCAGGGAGGGAGGGAGAGTGGGAGGGAGGA